ATTTATTATATTATTGGTTGTGTGCATGGTTTTCTGTAATCACCACCCTTAATTTATATTTTCAGAATTCCTGCCAAAACTGAGGCCATAAGAGAGCGCTCGAGCACTCATTAGAGGTTTCAATTTAATATGTAAACAAGGAAAAAACAAAAACGTTAAATAATAGAGCGAATCCCTACAGAAGTTGGAATTAAAAACAGCACAGCCTTTTTGTTTGCTGGAGGAAGCAGAAAAGTGATGAAAGATGACAGGGAAAAATCTTCGAGTTTTAACAAGCAATTAAACTGGTTTTTATCCCACCTTCTTCGTGATTTGTTAAATTTCAATAGCGTTCTTTTTTCAAGTTTTAATATTAATTTGCATCACTTAATAGAGATACTTTCTTCATTCAGAAAATATATACATAGGATGGGGATTCCGGCACACCCTATATAATAATTATTATTCCGATTAATCTTTATTTTAAATTAAAATAATATTAAATATAGAGCCTAGTTGTTTTAGAATTATAAATGCAAGAAAAATCCTTTAATTGTCACAAATGACAATTTTAATGCTTATTGAAGGAATTGTAATTTGATAAAGTCTTCGCGTTCCTGTTAAAATAGAAATGTGTCATGATAAGATTGATGGTGTTTAGAAAGAAAACAAAAGCCTTGAAAAAATACGGAAATTATTAATGCTCCTGCAGATCATAATATCTGTCAGAAGTGCTTTTTAACTCTTGAGTTTGAAGATGGTTGTTTTAAGAAAACTGTTTTTATTTTTATTTCTGTCATTTTTTTGCCATTTGTGTAACACTCTAAATAGTATTTTGATGTTCTTCTTTTTCTTAAGTTAGCGTTTTGGTTATAAAAATAATTTTCAAGGGAATCAGTTTAAGTATCAAAATCTACACACCTGTAAGCCCTAGAAAGAAAATAATTTTACGAATGCTAAATATGAAATATGTCAAAGAATGTTAAAATGAAAATCTATTAAAGAATGCTAAAAAATACATTAGAGAATGCTAAAAAAATATATATTAAGGAATGCTAAAAAAGAAACTATTTGTGAAAAAGTTTTCCTACATTGACAACATACAAACTTGCTTTTTTTGAAAACGTATGAGTTATATTAAGCAAAAAAAAAAAAAAAGAATAGTTAAAACTACCTGAATATGGTTAAATTTACCGTGTTTCTATCTCTATGGGAGCAGTAAAATCTCGGCAATTTTTACTAGAGCCCTTTGGTAATGATTTTGGTCAAATTCACCATAAAATGTAGTGCTATAATATGCGATAAAATTAAATAAATTTGGCAAATTTTGGTAGTTTTATCAGGATTTTTCAGAGCATGGAATAAAAATCATTTATTCGGTTTAATTTACTTTTCAGTTTTGCAATTTTTACTAAATATGTGGTAATAAGAACTATAATTTTGGAACCCAGTGTTTCCAGTAAACATATAAACGGCAAAATTACTAATTAAATTACTGGTTCATAAATACTATATATATATTTTTTTACCAGGACTATTTTTTTTCTTCAGATTGTCATTACCATACATCACGGTAATTTTACTAGAATATACAGTGCTAAAAATTCTAGATCAAATTACGGGATAAAATACCGGCACTTTGGGTGCATCATCCGCAAAATACATTTAACATTAAAATCCATTTTTATGGTAAAATATTATACAGTAATTTTTTAGTAATATTAATTTAATTCGAGTAATTTATTGATTTTACAGTAATTATTACTGAGAAAATTACGGAATATCAGATATTTTGATCCATAACATGTGTCGGTGAAAATGAATTTTACGGTAAAAAGCATCGATTATATGATACCGGTACTTTTTATCGTACTTCGATTTGGTATATTTTACAGTGTATGTGCGAATTGCGTACACCGTTAAAAATTTTAGAGCAGTTTAAACCATAATATATCGTTTGAAATTTTAGCAAATTTAATATCACAGTAAAAATGAATTTTACGGTAAAGTGGATGTTAAGGTGGATGCAGTCTGTGTGTCAGTACTTTATACCATAATTTGATCCAGAATTTTTTACAGTGTATGCATGTAGATAACAATTATATAGCTAAGTAAAATTAATTTAAATCGTATCAAATCAATGATATTTCAATTAGTTACCTTTACGTGTAATAGAATCTTAATCACTTGTTAATTGAAATAAAATTTTTTATGTAAAAAATTCACTAATGTGGTTGGAAGTGAATGAGGATTCATTCATAAATCAACCTTCACGGTGAATCACAAAGCCTCGAAATAGGATACAAACGCGAAGAGAGAGCAAGGTCTTTAACAAATAACTTCCTCATTGCTTTCATTCTGGCGGAAGAATCTTATCTTTAATTTAATTGTAATCAAATTTTATTTCTTATGTGATACATTTGAGACCGGTACGGCAATTAAGGATTTAATTCGATAATTGTTGCGTTCGAAATCGTGATTTTCCTACTCTGTTCACCTTACGAAATAAGACACACATTTTGAACAAAAGGAAAGTCCATATTTATTATTACTATTTTTATCTAATTTGTAAAAATAAACTTAATTATTAAAACGAAATTTTAAAACATAACTTTGGGGATTAGCAGTTTGGTATGAATAATACCGCGAAACTGGAGAGGAAATAATTCACATAAATGCCGATTCTCTAGTTAACGATATGAGTTCCTCACCACTCTTCAATGGTCCTTGGAAATGCTTTCTGCTCTTATTTGCCTCGTGACTACCGTGGTTTTTCAAATTTTGTTTATCGTTTTAAATTTATTTTCCATTTTTCGTGAGCAACTCTGCGTTTCCTTTTTCCCATTCTGTTTTGTTTATTTCAAGGGCGTTTTCTATTTTGTTTATTAATTTCATATTGAACGCTTGAAACATGACAACTTTTTCCACCTTTATAATTTATGTAGAGAATGAAATAGTTACATTATCAAATATACATTCAAAATATTTCAAACAATATGTAATTGTCAAAGATAATTTATTGATTAGTTCATTAATGAACTGATTTATTGATTTTAAGAAGAATGACTTTTGTTTGCGGCAAGGGTTTCAAAATTGCTCCATGTGGCAGTACACTTTCGAAATTTAAGATTATCTCTGGCACCCCGGTATGGCACTTTGTTTGAAATATAATATTTTTTTCTTCTTAAACTGTATGCTTCACATGCGTAAAACTATGAAACAGAAACTATGGAAGTAAGTTGCGAAAATATAAACATAATTAATACAATAAATTATACTTAAAGTATACTCAAGTATTTTAATTAATTAGAAACTAATTAAAATACATAATATTAAAAGTATTTATAAGAGAAAATATAAATGAAGACAAATACACTCAAATGTACTGTGAATTCCTTTTTTATGATGTGTGAGTTTTTCGCTCATTAATTATACTGTGGAATCGTTGAATAAAGCTACTCACATTTCTTTTTCGATATTCATTTTAGAGTGATAATAACTCTTTTGAACAGTAAATAATAAAAACCCAGTTTTATCACATAGATGTGAAGTAACAAAGGGAATATGAATTTTCATTTTGACTTGGGCAAATGAAAAGAAGTGAATAATTAAATTAATGGACACGAAGCAAATGATCATGATTTGAGCAGGTGAACATAAATATTAGCTCGAAGTCGGGGGCAACTCATGGCACCCTTAGGTGTCATGGCACACACTTTGGGAATCACTGAGCTAGTGTTTATTAATCTATTTACTTTTCTTAAATCTTTAATGTCCATTGCATTTTTTTATATTGTGGTTGACGTATTTTCAATTATTCCTTTTATTAATTTTTTTATGTTTATAACTTCATTGGAAGTTTTATAGTTTTAAACTTTTTAAGATAAAAACTTGTTTTTTATGGATATCATTGGAATAATGCTTAAATCATATCTAGCCAGAAAAAGTTTTATTTCTGTTTGATTTTTTAGAAGCGTTTTTCACATGTTCTGCGAAATTTTTTCGTATTTCTCCTTCTGGTTACATCTCTTCACTCAGATGGTTTTTAAAAGACGTTCTGCAGAATCCTAGGATTCGGTAGATCAAGTAGGGACAAGTCGGGAACACTTGGGATTTTATTTAGTTTTTTTTTTTGTTGCAAGTGATGATTTTTTAAACGTGTAATTCTATTTATTACAATATTTATATAATTTAAAAAATATTTTTTTTACAAAAGGCAATCGAAGTAATATATTAAATAAATTACGAAACGAGCATGCATTTACTAAAAATTGCATTCTCACCCTATTTTTCAATTCAAAATAAAATAACTAAATTCATCAATAAATAATTAGGCTTCTTTAAAAAACATTGATACCACTTATAAAAGTTCCTTTTCGAAAATCTTAATTTAGCTTATTTTATTCGTTTTCTGCTTATTTGTACTCCAAAACAAATAAAAAACTAGATAGGATACTGTTCCAGTCCTAAAATTTAAATTGATTGAGATAAAATCTGATGTTTTAACTATTATTTGTAAGTTAATGAAAAAAATCATTTATCACGTTAAATATTTTCAAAATAATTCGTTGCCTTTTGCCAATATGTTAATGAAATTTTTGCTGTACTAGCTGTAATGATCATTGATCAAAAATTGGAAAACCAAACAAAAAATCATAATATTTTGCATATACCAAAAAGTTCTTGACATTTTTTAATCATCATTTATTCGAGTATAATTTATTACCTGGTCTCAAAACAAATCGTTTTAATATTGTTTTTTTTAATTAATAATTTTTCTGCTTAAATGATATTGAGTAAAAAATAGCACGCCTATAGAAAAAATTGTTTATTAATTTAATTTCACTGTTTGTTATTTTCATTGCATAAAATTAAATAAAGAAACTCATTTGTTTTTATTAAAAGAAGAAATTTGAACGTAATTACCATAACCATAATTATCTTACATTAAAGCATTTATACTTTTATACAAACTGATTTTGAAATTTCAAATGCAAATAATAATTTTTATTTTAACTTACCCTTGACTCTGGGCTAGTTTTAAGTGCCATTTCGGGATTCGTTTGGACTCCACGCTCCAAAATGAAGAAATGATGAAAATCAAAGAAAACTTCAATACATTGTTATTAAACATATTTGCACAATTATATTTTTTAATAATTTGAAACAGAAATTTTTGTTGCAATTAGCAATTGCTAATGTGCAGCTGCAAACGGTGAGTTGAAGCTGCTGTTTAGAAGGTATTCCAAGATACAAAAGAGAGAAGAAAGTCTTCCTCCTCATCCTTGGAGTTTTCGTTTGTTGAAGTGGGCGGGGATTTATATGCATGACGTCACTTTGACTGACAGATGGTGACCGAAACTTTGATTCGTTTGACCTTTCTCGCTTCAGGTAAGTGATATAATTAAGGGAGAGGTGATTTCTTAGTTTATTCATATCTGGCTACCGGGAAAGTAATTTGTAGCTTTTTTGGTGTATAAATAAAACATAAAGTTACGTATAAATAACGTATAAATGTTTCTAAAGAAATATATATATATATAGGGGATTCACAGTTTGGTGNATATGTATATGTATATGTATATGTATATGTATATGTATATATACGTACGTGCGAAATAGCATAATATAGGGTCAGTTTTTCGCTTATTAATATAACCAGGTTTCATTTATGCTTGCTAACTTAACCCCCATAACGTGACCCAGGGTCGAATCCCAGCGATGACTAGTCGATACGAATTGTGTTACGGTTCTCACTGATCACTCCGCTCAGTGGTAGATGAGTCATGGGTTAGAACCCGGTTTACCGTAACAGCGGGAGATTTTATGTGTATCCTCGCTATGTAACACAAAAGCGGATTAGTTCTATTAAAAAAGACACGAAGGTTAGTTTGTTTGATAATCTAATGTTTGATCTTGGAGTTCTCTTGTCTTCTGGGTTGGGTTTAAAAATAGACAACGCGTAATGGATGGTACCTCTCAACTGCTTCGTTTTCTTTGTAAATATATAAATACTTATCGCAATTTTTGTTGATATTTGAACCAGGATAGAGTTTAAATTAGGATAGAGGTTAAGCCGGTTCTGGGTACATTGCAGAACCAGTATTTGTTTAGATTTAGAACAAAGTTGTGGCAAATATTTACGTTTTGACTATAATTAATTTCTCAACGTCACAAAGGGAAAATAATACTAGTTGTCCATTACAAGACTATGGAAATGAATATTGAAGTCGAATGTCCAAGCAATTGGTCAGCTGTTCAACACTGGTTGCTAAATAAAATATAAAATAAGTAACTTGGCAATATATCATTAATTTGGAAATTAAATATAAAATACTTACGCCTATATTTCAAAAGGCTTTCTGAAAAAGAACTCAAACAAAGTAGCATTTTTTATGAATATTTGAATTATCTAAATGTATAGTGATGAACAGGAAAACTTTGCAATGAAATTTGAAACCTGAGAATCAACATAAATTTTTCTTCCACTGGGAAAACTATTTCCACAAAGAGGGGCAAGTTGGCATCCCCTTTAAAGTAAAAACTAATACAAATTATATTAAAAGTTAAGTAGAATGACAATAATAATGAATAAACATAAAATTGTTCTTTAATGTTTTCGTGACATTTCCATGAAAACTAAGACAGTATGAGATTTTAACGAGTGTCGAAAAAGCGAATAATATGATGAAAATCAATTAAAGAAAAGTAGGAGGAATAGATATGCTTGATTTGTTCCATTCTGCTAGAAGTTAAATTTATTAGCGTAAAATTTGAAAATTATTAAAAAATTTTATCAAAGGATGGTGCTACTGACTGGATAAACAAACTATAAAACAATGTTTTTGCAGATGTCAAACCATTTAAACGGAACTATTTCCAAGGGCGTCTACAATTTTGACAGTAGACTGTGCCACGTAGTTGTTGAAGAAGACAATTGTTTTGAAAACATTGTTTTATAGTTTTTTTAGTGCCATCTGTTGACCAACTATGTAACTAATTTTGAAGCTTGGTGAGAATAAATTAGTTAGTTAGCTATATAGCACGCAGCAAATCCCACACGTCCATATCCCTCCGTTTTCTTAATAAGTCATTTTTAATAAGTCATGATATTATCTATAAGGTACTTGACATAATTCTAAGATAGGAATTTCTAAAAATAGCGTTTAAACACATTCTTAATCTTATCTATTTAATAATTATTTAAAAAAAAATCATTTATTCGAACTGAAAAATCAAAGTCAGTCAAATGAACGAAACGTGTTACTCATATTTTTTTTCTTCATATAAATCTTATAAAAATATTTAACAATGTAATTTTAGTTCAAACGCACTTCCTTTATCTGATTAAGTAATTAAGTTTGAACACGATATTCGCTAAATGAAGATATTTGGTTAAGCTTTTAAGCCATGAAAATAATTTAATACGTCGTCAAGAGTGTAAAGATAATTAATTGCTCCTATTTACTAAAACCTGAGAATAAAATATGGGAGTTTAAACATCATTATTTATTTAGGTCAAGCTATTAAGATAAGGGTGAATAAAAGATTAAATAAATTTAATTGATATTAAAAAAATATTATCTCGTTGATAAATGAAAGTTTGTTTTAAGTCTGCACGTACTGTTGTATTTATTAATTTCCTCTTCAATGTCAAATCATCATGACAATTCATTACCTGCTTAAAATGGTTTTTTTTAAAAAATTCTTTTCTTTCGATAAAAAAGCAATTTTAAATATGGGTAAGGCGGTGTTTTAATTTTTATATGTTTTTTAAATCCTGTTTCAAAGTAACGTTTTATTTTATATTTTTACTCACGCCGTCACCTTGAAAGCTTAATTTAAATCGTAATTATGTTTTTCAGTCAAGTATTTTTTTAACATAGGCTCTCTTGAATTAGTTGTTAACTTTTTGATTTCGAAATTAATTTATTTAATAAAAGCTAATGGAGGGAACGTTTTAATATGAAGGTTTTAATTTGATTCGGAGGTGGTGACTTGTGAAATTTGTTTTTATGATTTCCTTAATAGAAGGAAGATTATATAGTGAATAAAAAGTTAAAATGACTTATCACGGTTTTTGAGCAAAGTAACTTGTTTATTTATTTGAGTGGTTCAGAAATTAAAAATAGGAGATTTTAAGCAGGGCTATGTCTGTTTTTTCTCTCCACGAAACCAAAGTAATATATTTATTTAAATAACAAAGTTTTATCATTTATTTATGGCCATTCTCTATTTTTCTATTCATGAGTTGAATAGAATACGAATCAGGGTGTAGCACTAGATATTGGAATGTCTTAGAAAAACCCTTTAGAATTAAGAATAAAACAAAGCAGAACAAAAAAAAACTAGTTTTTCTCTATTTTTAAAAGTTCTTTATTCTATCGCTGTGTCAGAAAAATTTCGATGTTCGCGCTGTCAAATATTTTCCGCAAATGCAAAGAACATTTTTGTTTAAACCTAACGCAAAACGGTTAGAACAAACAACGGTGGTCGTTTAACGCAAGAACTACTGACTGAAATAAAGATGAGAGGTCGCACATTTTTCGAGAAGTATTTTCGAAGCATTTTTATTCGAAAAATGTCATTCAAAAAATGTTGCATACATTCGAAAAATGGTGATGGGAGGAAAATTTTTTGAGTAATTTTAAGTAAAAAAAGAAATTTACTTTTAAACATTAGTTTAAAACTTAATTTAATCTTTTTAGAATTTATTTTAAAACCATTAGCTGAAAAAATATTTTTTTTAGCAAATACTGACTCTCATGTCTGAAGATGTGTATAATGTAGTCAATTAACTTATTCTCATGCATGAAGATGCGCAAAATGCCAAATTTAACATTCAAATAAAACATGTTTGTGTAGTTGAACACTGGTTGCAACTACTTTGCATCAAAGTGGTGTCTCCCTAAGTGTTCCACTACATCAAAATCAAAACTAAGGATAGTTTATGGCGCAGTGAGACACCAGAAATGTTCTTTTACGCTATTTGGCGTAAAGCAGCTGCTACCTTGTTTGTTATTCAGTAACACTAAAATTTGTAATTACAGTGAGATATGATACACAGAAAAATTGGTAAAGTTATTTTTACGATACAATCTAAGACAAGAATCATAAATTTAGGATGCCAGTCTGCAATATTCTTTAAATTAAAATTAATTTGTTAATCAAGCATACACTTAGCACAGACAAAATATTTATATGAATTCGAACAAAACCGAAGTAAATCGAAGTTAAATATTATATAATTATTTTAAGCAATTGGCAGATTTATGCTAATTTTATGTGACTAAATCTAAAAACATACATGCATTTTGTAACTGTTTATATGCTCACTGTTTATATGGTTTCTAGTTGTCGTTTTAAGATACAAGATTGCGTTAGAAATAGTATAATATAAATAATTTTTATCAATTTATGAGCATTATTTCAGTTTTATGGACTATTATATCATGATTATGATGCATAAACCGCAGAATTCGAATTAGAAAGGAATTCCGTAAAGTAGAGATTGCCGAACTCACTGTTTTACCCTCACATTAAAAGTTTCATTAAAAATAATAAATACATTGAACTCAAGATGAAAAATTTTGTAAAACTATAAATGAATAAGATTTGTTTATTCTTAATTATTTTAATCATATCCCATTAATCATACATGAAAGCAACTTCCATCAATTAATAGTAATTATCATAATAGTAGCTTTAACTGTGTGTGCAGTGAGCAAGAAAAAAAGGGAGTACCCTGAATAACTTTTATCTTTTATTTGAACACCCTGAAAGTACTAATAATTAAATTTTAATCTAAGGAGTCAATTTTAATGATTTCAGATCTTAACTTTAAACATACTAGTTAATTAGTGCTGACGATATTTTAATTAAGTTTCGAAATCGACGTAAAAACGTACACAGAAACGTATAAATATACTTTATTTCAATTTTTTTATCCAAGGAAAACCTTTAATATTAATTTGAGTTGTAAGAACTACAAATTTTTACTTTATTTTAAAAAATGTAATTTTAAATAACCAAATATAATCTTTGAGCGTAATCAGTCGATTATTTTCTAAGTTATCAAGTTTCAAAATAGCGACATATTTAAAATGGGATTTCGCAAGAATTAGTCTATTGATTTTGATCAACTTTTATATTTTGCTATTTAATCTAGTTTAAAAATTTATATGCAATTTAACTTCCTTCTTGTTGACTATTTTTAAATAAAATCATTAATAATTATTAAAAACTCTTTTTTTGTGTGCATGGAAATACCTATACGGATTATA